GGGGGGGGGGGGGGGGCGGGGCGGGGGTACTCATGTTCTGCATGCCTTTGCGGTTGCACAGTTAACCAGGCGTCCTCGAGAGGACAGGGCATTGTTCCCACGGAAGTATGGGGCGGGGCGGCAACCGTCAGAGTGATGCGCTTGGTCGCGTCGAAGCGACACGTTGGCGCACGGGGGGCACGGTAGAAAGTCGCCGGTTGCTCAGCGTTACCTTCAGTCCAATATCAGATGGTTTCTCTCAACCTTCACTGCAAATGAGACTTAAAAAGAAATTCCCTTTTGAGCAGTGTCTCGTGTCTCTCTGGGATGTTCTGTATACTTCCTAAAAAGAACTCCCTGGGAGAAAAAGAGACAAACGACCACCACCAACGACAGCACGCACGGTACTGAAGGAGAAGATCCCCAACTGCTTTCGAAAAGAACCGCACCCGCCACAATGACTACAGCAGTAATGCTACAAACTACTCTCAATACTACAATTCCCCCTTTGCTGGTTTCGACTGATGAGAACAAAACATGCATACACCACCACATTCAACGTTGCACATGCCTGGTTGTACAAGATGAAGCGGAACCCGGCGGTTGTAGTGATGGGGAAGTTGAGGTGCGACTCCGGCCTGTCATCCTTGTCATCCGTCGTCAAAATCTCCACCTCGTCCCCGGCCTTGGACAGGAACCTTCGCAACGTCGAAAAACAAAAAAATCGCTTGTGTGTGACGTCATTATGACGAAAAAAAAACAAAATGTGCGCTGCTTGGGGAACCCGTACAAACACATCACCAACCCGGGGCACTGCAAGTGGGCATACTCACATGTGATGTACATTCGCTTTTGTCGTTGTCATGGTTAAGTCATTTTGGGCAATGCCTCCCGCCTGGTGTGATAAAAAAAAATCACGTTGTCGTGCTCATGATGTATAGTAGAAGTACCCTCCCTTGTTCTCCGGGGCGCCGCTTCCCGGAGCTTCGAAACCGATCGGTGGTGTGGTGGACGGGACCTCTCCCCTCTCTCGGCGCGTCCGTCTCTGGGCGCGCGCCGAGTGTCCTCCTCCATCCTTCCCCGGGATATAGCCGTCGCTACGCGACAACGTCCACGCTTCATCCACTATTAACACAAGGTGTCGTTACATACATACGAGTGTTTATATCCGTGTTCCGTCATCGGCTACGGAGGCAAATCCACAAAACCTACCACTCTGTTCGAAAATACGAGGGGCGTTCGGACACGAGGACGAAGGCCACAATGGTCCCTGTTCTGGCGAAGAGAAGTGGCCGGTAGGATCTTCGGGCGACTGCACAACAAATGGCGGGTTGGACGCGGGAAAAAAAACAGAGGCAGGAAGAACACCCTGGCTACGATAATATCATCGCCGAGAAAATATGGTGCAGAAATCCAGCACCCCGGAAATCCAGTACACGCGACGCGGAACGAGCAAATGCCTCCTCCAAAACAGCTGACAAAAGGCGCGCTGCGGAGGAGGGCTCTCTCTCTGTGCGACTCTCCTTTGCCTGACATCATAAGGGGGAGGGGGCGGGGAAGCCGCAAAAATCTATGTGCCAAATCGTCTTGTGGTTCGCTTACTTGAGCATCTCGCGGAAGCGGTTTGAGTAGCCGCTGATGTGCGTGAAGGGGGTGGGCTCCACCAGCAGAGCCACCTTGAGCGGCGGGGAAGCCTTGAGGTTCGGCGTCGTCTTCTTGCCGGAGAGCTGAAAACAAAAATAAGGGGAAAAACACAACAAAAAACAGGACACAAAAAATAGTAATGAGGAACAGGACACATAAAAATAGGCCAAACAAAGCAACAAAAAAACAGGAGTAAAAAACAGGAACAGGAACAATGTGAACAAACAGGAAAATAAGCATCGATAACAAAGACGAGGAACGACAAAATTCATGCAAGAGACGTTGCACGAGATCTCAAGGTTTGTTGTGGTAGCCTCCTCAGCAGGCTAGATAGAGGAAAAATATCATAACAGAGAGGCAGCGAAGGGTCCAACGTACGGTGTAGGTATCGCTGTTTTGGCCGTTGCCGACGTGATTTAGACACTTCAACGAGATTTACAGCGACGGAGGGAGAGAGGGAGGGAGGGAGGGAGGGAGAGGAGGACACACTCACGATTCGTTACAAATACGCAGGCTTTTGGGGACATATGTAGGAAAGACTGATCTCAGTGAGCTTGTGCACAAAATAGCGCTTAGTTGATTTCCGGTAATGGTGCTGTTCACCCATGCCCTGCTGCTGCCAAACATTGTATTCGCAAGTGCAGCAACACAAAATGAGAGAGAGGTCAACAACACCAGCCGAAACGCATGTCGGCAGATGTTATGGATGAGGTAGCCCTACTTTACGTTTGTTTCTCGGCGAGACGAGCCTTCGCGAAAACAACACGATTCAGTACTCTTACTATCATGGCGACAGCGCGTTGCTGCTCCGGGGATAAGACCGGGGGATTTGCGGGTCGAATGGCTGGAATTCTGTTTCGAGACCCTTTGACAGCCGGTGTCTATGCGGTAAGCAGCCTGCTAGAGTGAGAAGAAACAAAGAAAGAAAGAGCGGGAGATCAACTGCCGTGCGAAAGCATTCAGCTTCGCTGCTGGGTGCTGCACACCACCATCGGGACCTCCAAGTCAGTGTGCCGACTCCCGCCCCTCGAGATACAAACAAAAGCGATCAACATGCAGTGGGTGTGCATCAAAGGCGCTTACGGCGCGTCAACCCCGCGACATGCTCAGCGGCTACCGTGCCCAACTGTTGCATCCCCGGGGGAGAGGGGGGGGGGGGCGTACTCATGTACTGGTAAACGCGTGCCGTAGTCGTTAAGGCCAATGACCTCGCATGCCTACAATGCCGGACGGACCGGTATGCCGGGTTTTCGCAGGCCCAGGCAACGTTTCACAAGCATGAACCAGCAGCTGGTCATCATACCCTTCTTTGGTTACCTGCGGCAGAAGCTATACACCGAACGCTACTGCTGCACCAACCGCTACTGCGTTGTGCCGACTCACGCTCAGCGCAACAACGTTCGAAGCTCCTGCCAACAACATGGCTGCATGTCAGACAAGGTCGCCCGAACCTGCGAAACCCTGATTCCACGTCTCGACCGCACGCAAGATAATGCCGCAGCTAAGACCGATACAACTGAGGGAAAGTTGTATGATGGTGTACCTTGTCAGAGACCTTTCAGTGCCCATCTGCGTTAGGCGAGGTATGCATAGGCCTGCTCAAATTCCGGGTACGCATCTAGCCCTTGCGGTCGATGCCATAAACAAAACGCGCCGACACCCACAGTATGTTTGCCGTGTCGTGTGACTGCAAGACGGCCTGGCGTGTGTGATCGAAGCTTCCAAACACACAAACACGCAGAGCACACTGTCAAGGAATTGGCGCCGCCCAGTGAATGGGGACGAAGATACAAAAAATGTTGTCGGGCACCCCGGAAGAACCAAAATTTAAAAATTGTGATGCTTTCTTTTCGCAAGACCTCTTGAAACCCGCCAAGCAGTTCTACATCGTGGAAACGTCAAGCGATGGTCAAGCAATTAAATTTTGTTCCGACGGCGAACACGTGATCGCGTGTGTGCATGTATGTTAATAGCCCACACTTGGTCCACAGCGCTGCTATATTTTAACAGTTGGCAAACGGCAAGCCAGTAGGCAAGGGGTAACGGTGTAAGCGAACACGTCCCAGGTTTGAATACGACTGCTGTACTGCGTGAGTGTGTTCGTCCATTCTATTCTGGCGCAGGTTTACAGGCCTTTCGGTGTATACATATACCTGATGTATCACCCGGGGTCATACAAGAGGTCACACAGCTTTCTTTATTGTTTGCTTTATTGCCCCCACCTTTCCCCCCGTGCTTGCGTTGGTTTTAATCTGCGTACAGCAGTAGATGCTTCAAAACGAAAACGCGAATTTCGATGTATTGTAGTAATCGGGCTTGTGCTCGCTTGCGATCTGTGTGTCCCCTCTCTCGCGCGCACACGACGCGCAACAGCCTGCTTATCGCAGTACCGATAGAGAAGAGCTCGGCCGGGTGCTGCACTGCTGAAGAAGGAACTGCTGTCGTATGCGTGTGAATGCAGTACTGCTGCTGTGCTCGCACGCCGGTCACGATCCCGCAAAGCTTGTGTCGGTGAAGCTGGCACACGGTGCTGATTTACATGCTGTACTTGTGCGACATGGATCAATCGCTGAGACTTTACAGCGCGCGTCCTCTAAACGGGAGGTTGCCGTGGTTGAGTACATCGGCTTCCAACGCAACGTACTGTTTGCCGATAGACTAGAGCAATATCTACACAGCGTCTAGAAGCACACCATGCTTCGCCAAATCTTTGGCAGTATGTACAATGCATACGTGGAGTGCTGTTTATGTACTTCCCCCGTTTGAAAATGGACCTGTTGTTGTACATTACCTCTCTTTTGGTTTCAAAACGGTGCTATATAGAGTACAGCATCACGGATAATCACGTCCCACTTGTCTCGAACGACTGCTGTCGCGCTTTACTTGTTGTTCAGACAACCGCCGTAGAACATCTCGGGGCAAGGAGAGCTGCTGCAACAAAGGGCTGCTGCCGCGCGTGTATGAAACAGGCGGTGCAAATATGAGACAGCTTTCGAAGGTTAGATTCGGTACGGGCGTCTGACCAACATGACAAGAGACTGGCTGCACCCATGCTCACCCCAAGGCGCATGGTAGCCCCGTCACCACCTCTGCTGTCCGGCCTCGAAGAAACCATACAGCCCTGCCCGCGCCTGAGCCCTTTCTGCTGCAATGTCTCCCCTAGGAAGCCCTCGCCGGCGCTACTTCCAACGGCGACAGAAGCCTTGGGCGCGATGAACCCCAGGGTCACAACCACCTGGCACACGAAAACGCTCGCGACCAGCAGTAGCGCGGCAAGACTGTGGGGAGCCATGAAAGGCGTTCTCACGACGCCTGAAGCTACTGCTCTATGATGTGTCGTGTGGGTGTCGACGTAAGCATGTGTACACATCAGCTGTGAGGCGACGACAGTAGAGAGCGAGAATAGGGGCTCCGTGGGTGGTTCCACGTACCATCAACATTTGTGGCGGAGCCGCTTCGCTGTCAAGGATCACGCCGCAGGCCAGGCTGCAGACCGCTCCAGCAATCAGCCAGGCCAATCCATGGCAGAAGCTCGCGGCGTAGATCTGCCAACGAGATGGGGGTGCGTGTGGGATCGGCGCAGGGCTGCCGAGCTGGGTGGAGAACAGATTGACCAAAGATGCGGCCAGCACCTTTGGTCGGAGACGTTCGCTCTTCGTCGGCAAGAGGTCATCATCATGAAGTTGTTGGGGGAGCGTATGCATGTGATGTTTTTTTTAACGGCCGTGTGTGCAACCGTTTCACACGCTCGAAGAGTCTGGCAGAGACACGCCATATCTTGGGGGATACCCGGTCCCTTCCCCGCTTTTTTGGGGACATTTCTTCCACACCGGCAAAGGCGCTTGGCACGCAGCGTATCTCAAAACGTGGGCGAGTTTTCAACACCTCATCCATCCCGATCTCGCGCGCGCGGCGGGAAGATCTGGCCGCGGCGGAGTGGGAGAGAGGCGAGCAAAGAGAGAGGAGGGAGAGAGCAGCAAAAGCGCAGGTGGGTTTTGGTGTCTTCAAGAGCAGGCTTCAAGCTTGTGGTTGTGATTTTGGCGCAATGACATGAATAGGCCATGGGGACACATACGCGTTGTATGTAGCTGTATCTTGCGCTTGGCGGGATCGAGTGCACCGCTCGCTGAAAGTCCCCCCCCTTCCTCACATTACCAGAGGGGTGCGAGGTCGATCGAGCGAAGGAGGGACGCTGGTCAGTTCTTGAGAGCTGGTTAGATCTCGGAGACTTGTGTGCGCTTGGGTTCCTTCCCTCTAGGAGCCTTTTTGTCCGCAAGGTGCCCTTGAGAGAGGGAGGGAAACGATTGTAGCTTTGCGCGAGAGAGTGCGACCACCCCCAGGTTGGCACACGGGCGGGTGCTGGCTGTGAAGATACTCCTTTGCAGCATAGCCTCTGGCAACACAAGGGGCTAGCGTTCAGTTGAAGCCTGCTCGCGGGGGGCGATGATCTACAGCAATGCATACGATCTTGCGATTTGGTTGAAGCCGGGTATTCCTCCGAGATCTATCTCTGGCCGTGAATGAATGCCGGCACGGTCAAACTGCGTTACGTACAGATGGCGAGCGTTGCTGCAACCAACCCCACTTAGACTGAAGGGAGACAACACCCATCTGACATCGTACTTTGAGATACGGGGAGTCCATGGACACCGCGTGTTACCCTGGCCCTCGTTTTTTCGGCGAACCAAAGAGAGGGAATGCCTCGTACCACAGATTGCATCCTCATGTAAAAGCGCGCTCGCCCCACCTTTGAAAACACGAGTCTACGTGTAGGGGCATTGAAGGGCCGCGGCGGGGCCCGGATCGCAAGCCCAAGTTAGGCACGGGAAAAAGAAGAAGGTAGCAGGAATAACATGGAACCGGCAATCGCAGGTTGCCGCGGGCAACCGTGCTGTTTCTCGAAGAGGTTGAATCGGTTTATTTTTTTGAATTGGTGTCTCGTTTCCCACCAGGTGCCACTCCCAACGTGTGTGTGTGTAGTCTGTACTCTACAATTCTGTGCTCGCAAGAAAAACACGCGAGCGAAAGAAGGGCCACTCAAAGTCACCTACCCCGGGCGCTTTTATGCCTTACTTCTGTACAGTTACTGTAGCGCCCGCAAAACAAAGGCAGGTTCTTTCCACCCAAAATGTGAAAGCAGGGTTAACCCTTTTGGGTCTTCAGGCGCGCTGACTGATAGATCATTGATTGATCGTTTGTTTGCGATTGATCGTTTGTTTGCAAATGCTGGTTGGTGTGGTGGCATGCCATGGAGTTGCCGCCCTGTATCCCTCCACGCCAGGTGTTGGCAAGTCCATAGGTAGGTGTGTCTTTATTAGTAGCATCGACCGCGCTAACCGGTGACCAATGAAAAGACGTCAGTGCCAGCGATTTACTAAAACCAATGTCCCGGAAGGGTACCAATATTCGAAAAAATGCACAATGCGCTACATGCGAATGCCACCATGGATCTCTCTCCATATACCCTATCACATCATAGCTCCACATACATACGGTTCCCCCGCCCGCCCGCATCGAGGAAGCCATGATGCAAAGAGCGGAGGGCAGCAAAAGGGGTAACTCAAGCCCAGCCAACCCAGGACATCGTGGTATGCTGCATCTCCAAATTTGATAGTCTCCCAAGATTCCAGCAGCCATCGTGTCCTCAGCTACTCTCTCTCCCGCAGCCCGCAGTTTCCCCCTTCTTTTTCTTTTTTGGCCAAAAAGAAAAAGTTAGACCCAAAACAGAAAAGTGGTTAAGAAACATAACTCAATCTGGGCCACATTTATTTAAAGAAACGTCTCAATAAGAAAACAGGAACGACCGCTACTCTACTACTGTACATAAAAATATAAAAAGAGGGGTTGCCCGGGAATGTCGCTGAAGAAACACCGCACAGCTCCCCCCTCTCTTTCTCCCTCTCCCATGTGCTACCCACCCGCTCCCAGTAAAAGTACTGTGTGTGGTGCATTAGTTTCAGCCCTGACTCATGGAGACGGGGGTACAGGACCTTGTAGCGACAGCGAGACGTTACAGGTGAATAAATTTCGCTTCTACGGTGTGGCCTTCGTGTGTATGTACAGCCGTCGGGTGGTGAGAATGCGGTTGCGTACGGGAAGCGAGGAAAGCAGCGCAAATCATTTCTTGTAGCCCGTTGTTGTGTTGGCAAGCAGAGAGAACACGAAATTACCGATCCCAGCAATTCTGCAGGATTTGGCAGCACGAAAAAAAAATGAATTGGACATGGTAAGAAATTGAACAACGTGCGCTGAGTTTTTTAGCCCACAATACATCGATTTTGAGGCTGGACCGGAAATTAGCGATTCTTTCAAGCGGGCGCTAACTGCTACGTACGGTGAAATACGCATGCATCTGGTTTTTACCTGCCTGCTAAACTTCAGTAGACAATACCACCCTGCCTACAAAAGAGTGGCTGGGCGCACAGCACACCAGTCACCTGCGCAGTTCGAACCACCGACAGCGTTTTGCGGTAGTTGCCATGTACAGCAGTGCCCCAATTGGTCTACTGCGTGAGGTTGCCTTTGCGGCGAAACGCCGCACCGCCCAGCTATACATATCATCGATATCCACTCACAACGTTCGGGAAATGACGCTGATTGCTTGAAACTCGGCCCGCCACGTATAGGGTGCTCAGACATATTTAAGCAGTACTCTTGACATCTTGACCAACGTAAAATGTGGGTGGCGGGGAAAGGCCGTATCACGACAACCATGGCACTCACAATCGACGACCTACAAGCAGTAGAGATTCATGAAAAACAAACTTCTACTTTTCGAGCAATCATTTCTTGTACCATTGGAAGCTCGCCGGCGTCTTGTCACAGCCTACTGGCATTAACCCCGGAATCGATGTTCGCTTTACCCGTTGTACATGCATTGCTCGACGAGCAGGCCGATCGATCAGCTCCTGGGACGCGGACGAGATGGACAGCATTGCGCGCAGATGCAAGCTAAACCCCCGCGCCGCTAGCAGACCGCAATCGGGACCCTTTGGTGCAGAGGGGCTGGCTCGGCTACGACGTACGATCAGGTGAGCGAGCGGATACATACCTGATAAAACATTGCACTGAACGGAAGGGGGGGGGAAACGACGGATGAGAGAATGGGCAATCTGAGAGACGCTACGTTCAAGCTCAATTCGGTCCTCTCCCTGTCCCTCCGTGCTGAATGATGTGACACCTTGACATTTCACAACGTATTGCAGCGCTTGTGTAGCGGCCGTGGAGGAATGGGGGATGTCTCCTAGACAATGGCCAACCCCCCCCGTGCGATGCGTCACGAAACACCGGATTGCATTTAGTACTATTCCGAATCATCAACCGGAGGACCATGCGGTCCACGGGGGAGAAGATACCATCTGCGATTGTACTGCGAGGACCATCGTACGCCGAATATCCGCGCCTTGACTCTCCAGTTTGTTTCGGAACCAACCCCCCCCCCACGCAAGGGTGCCCATGGGTGCCGTTAAAAGTCTTTCCGTACACCTTCCCCC